AGACAGAGAGGGGGGGGGCTGATGCGGGGAAAAAAGAAATAAAGGTATAGAGAGAAAGAGTCAGGGAAAGGAAAACGGTTGGGATGATCTGAGAAGTGCACGATGATGAATGGTCTCTCAAGTTCATCTCAATCACCGAATGACCTGTATACGACAAGTGTCTACCACGAGGTCAACACGACAGCTAATTGACAGAGAGCTAAATAAATCGATTAAATCATCAATCTTCCGAACAGATCAACTTAACCTCGAAATGCTAAAGGAGGGTGTGCAGCAGTCACCTGAGACGAAGCATCACGAAACAGAGTGATACTGGTGACCCTGATTTGAACCCTTAGAGGTGATGTGTAGTGCTCAAATACAAGGAGTAAAAATGTCTTTCGTATGGTTTCTTTTGTACCTAACTTTGGTTTGCTCTACTCTCTGGCATGTTTAAAAAACAAAAACAAAACAGGCACATTGACACAATAACAGTTATTTAGTGCAAGGAATAGGGTAGGCCAGAGAAACACACAAAAACCCCCCAACAAAAAACTACGAAAGAGGGGGGGGGGGAGTAGAATCTACTCGTGGCACCCTCCAACCACCAACTCTCTGGCTTGAAATAAGAAATCGTCAATAAACCATTAGTTTCTAGATCTAGTGTGTGTTTTAATTTGCTATCTACATAGTGAAACTCATATTTTACCAGGTGCACTTCTACCCTCCCGCCTATGGGCCTTGAAGCTGGATGACCAACAGAATCTGAAAAAGACTATCTAGACAGGTCACTGCAAACTAAAGCTCCGTCTTCTTTGATGCTAGCTTGAAGAGCGCCAGCCAAACAATAGGGGACTGACAGCATACACTTAAACCTTTAAAAAGTTGGCATTATATTTTTCATAACACCGCATTTTAACGTACGCCTAAGAAACACGACTCAAGAGACAGGGTGAGTACCTTTAGTAGATACACACATGGAGACGTCTAGACAGTTAACCTGGACTGAGTGAGGTCCCAATTGAAAGACGCAGATTCTGCATGCAACGACGAAGAGCCGGGTATTATACCTCAACAAGAGGTTAATAAGGTGTTCGCCTTTCATTCAATAGGTCCCTGTTTCGAGCCCAGATAGCGAAAGAATTTTTTCTTCTCTAAATTGTCTCCTTTCACCTCCTTTCCTGTTCTCTAGCAATGTTCTGTGGTCTACTTTCGTCTCCACTCTCTCCCCCCACCCCTTCACCTCCTTTGCCCCTTCCTCTGGGCCCCTGACTCTTTCTGCAGCCTTTCTACTTATTCTCCTAGGCTCCTTCTTACTGCTGTCTTTCAGCCACACCCCTGATCTTCTGGTAGGAAAGCTCTACACCTAGCCTTCTCGGACAAGGGCTCGTGAGGTCCCTTGTGAAAGTTGAGCACGTTAAAGATCCCTTGGTTGTCCAAAATCGATAAGAGTAGGCTTCGTCCGCCACCCGGGCAAAATTCAAATTTTCCTATCAACCGAAAATGTTTAATGTGTCCGGCGCGCTCATATGACCATATGCAGTTGCTAGCGCCGTAAAACACTTATAAAAAAAAAGACTCTGACTCGTCATAGTTTTATGCGATATTTTATTATAAGATGATTAATTTATACATTTATTATTTTCATAATTGTGAACTGCTTCGGTTTGTTGTCGTTATGACTGAGTAACTCTTCTAGCACGTTTTGCAAGCTTTCATTTCCATAAAAAAATAACAGTTCCAGGTCTTCCTGCTTTTTTCTCTACCCTTAGTTTTAGAGTCTTCATTGTCAAAATCCTACTTTATTTGTCTTACCCTTCCTCTAATTTTGTCCAATTTTATTCTGTTCCTTTATGACAAACAAAGGTAATAATATTTTTATCACCACCTTGTACTTCGAAATAAATGGATCTGCATGAGGTTGAAATACGCTGTGAAATTACGGAAAAACCCACTCTCCGCCCCTTTCTTTCCTTCTCGTCTTCTAAGAGATTTTGTGTGCGCCTCTTGAGTTTTTTTCTCTCCAAAAGTACTGTACGGAAGTGGGAATGTGGAAAGGATACACGGCCAGATGGCGGAAATAGCTTGTCTGGCGATGTCATCGTCTAGTCATGGCACTGCCAGGGCAGGGGATAGATGAGGCTTTTTCTGCTGCTGATTTCAGTCCAGGCTGATTTCGAAGGCATATTATGGGCTGGGTTTTTATGATTAACGGGGATTACGCGCACCGAATAACAAAAGCCTGCTAGTTTAAGACTACGTGTGTTATGTAAGTAAAGTTACTCTAGACGTACAGTACTGTCTGGGCATCTCAGCCGTCTGGACAAGTCGGCCGCCCGCCTGAACAGTGTTGTTCCAACTCGTTTTAAAGCCAATCTTGATTGGATATTTTGTTGATTTATAAACCAATGTAATCTTTGTTAAGTAATGCTGACAATCTCGCTCGTTTTGTTTCCCTTTCACCCATTTTCACTGAATGTTTGTGAATTTTTGCGACAGAGCCAGGTAGATCGAAAGTAGGTCCACCATTTTTTCATCGTCTCCATAACTTGAACTATGCATACTCATAAGGTCATAGACATGCGCAGATGCTGTATTACTAATGACCTGGAACGGAAGGCAGATTGGGTTTTTTTGTCTGTTCCGGGAACGAGGGGAAGCCCTTCTTGCTTGTGGAGGGATGTGGTGGGGTGCCGAGTCAACTGGACTAAAAATGTTAAGTGTCCGGGTTGTTCGGCCGAGGCTAGCCGAGCTTTGTAGACACAGTTCGCGCATATCAGCCACGTGCACGATATGTTTTTAAAATATATTTTCAAGCTTAGCACACCCATTTTTTATTGTGTAGGCCTATTGTTTATTTTTATTATTTCATTTATTGTGTACATATATGATTTTTGTGGCCAGTGAATTCGATGAATTGGATTATTATACCAAATTTTGTGTTATTCATGGATTGTGTTGCTTGCTCCAAGGTAAGGTTACAACTTTATTAAGGCCGGTTCCATTTCTCCAAATGTTCGGGAAAATAAACTTGAACTCTATTTCTCCGAACAGTTTCCGTTCTCGAGATTAAATTGCTGATAATTTGTGAATGGAGTGGCCCGTGTGCGCGCACGAGCGCGCGCGTGTGTGTGTGTGTGAGTGAGTGTGCGTGCTCTAGAAATTGATATGGATGCAAAAAATGCTTCTTCCCAGTCCTCGCAGAATGGCAGAATGAAAGATGACGCCTAAATCCCGCAAATAGCCAAAACATTTCGAGAACGGAAACCTTTCAGAGCAAGCTGTTTCTTTTTATTTGACAGAAGGGTGTAAAATGGATTTCATAATTTAAATGATTGGTTTTGGGGTGATTGGGGTGAGACTGAGATGAGTGAATCATCACCAATGCCTGTCACCCCTGGCAGGGTACATATAAGCCAACATGCAAGCTCCTTCCATTCATCTTTGTCCTGGGCCATCCTTCCAAGCTCGTTCCAAGTGAGCTTCATCTCATGTCCCTTTCCACACGCATCTCTTCCACGTTCTCGAGGCCTACCCCTGCCTCGTGCTCCCTGTGGGTTCCACTGCAGTGACTGCCTCGTGATGTTTCCGTTTGGCTTTCTTAATTAAGGTGTGTCCCCTCCATCGCCACGTTCTTAGACATATTTCTTCTATATGAATATGCCTCTGTAGTTGTTAAAGTTGCTGAGGTCTCTTTTAATTTGCAGCTTGATTAGGTCACCTCCCTTCCAGTCTGATGGTATTTCCTCCTTTTGCCAAACCTTTTCAAATAGAGCACAGAGAATTTCCACTGATGTATCTTTAGCTGCCTTAAGGGCCTCCGGTGGTGTATGGTCGGGACCATCTGAATTGATGTTATATCTACCGCATTTTCCTCTCTCGAAGGTGGTTTCACTATTGTGAGGTCATTTTTGGCTGGCAGAATTTCTGGTTGGTTTTCTGGAGGCGGTCTGTTCAAGAGTTGATCACAGTGTTCTCTCCATCGGTTTAGTTGCCCCTTTGGGTTGAAGATAGTCTTTCTCTCCGTGTCTTTCACTGGTAGAGTGAGCTTGCTGAACCTTCCTGAAAGAGTTTTTGTTGTTTGGTGTACAATCCGCAAGTGTCCGTCTGTTGCTGCTTTCTCTGCCTTTTCGGCCTGGCCATTCAGGTAGGTATTCCTGTCCTTCTTGATGAAACTCTTTTGGGCTCCTGACTCTTTTGGCAGCCTTTCTACTGCTGCTCCTTGGCTCCTTCTTACTGTTGTCTTTCAGCCACACCCCTGATCTTCTGGTAGGAAAGATCTACGCCTAGCCTTCACGGATAAGGGCGAAAAATCTCGGAGGTTCCGTATACAAGTTGCGCAAGTTACAAATCCCTTGGTGGTCCAAAATTGATAAGAGTGGGCTTCAGCCGCCACCGGGGCAAAATTCAAAATGTCCCACCAACTGAAAATGTTTAATGTGTTTCGCGTGCTCACATGACCTACTAATACAGTTGCGAGCACAGTAAAACACTTACCAAAAAACAAAAAAACAACAAAAAAACAAAAAGCAAAACAAAAAACAATTCCATGTCCCGCCTGCTCCCCCCC